TCTGCGAAATCCTGATCGGTACATCAAACTGGGTGAGGATAACGAGAACTTTGTGAGCCAACAACGCCAAACAAACTGCATATGTTAATACATAGAGATTTCAGGCCTCCGTCCTCTTCCAGTTTCCTAGCCAGGGATATTCATTGTTTGTATTTTTAAAATTTCTGGAAAACTTTATGAGGTTTGAGCAGCAGTTTCTGTCTCTGTACAAAAGTGAAGATATGATGGCAAAAATCGAATAAGTGAATAGTTTCAAGCGTAAAAATCCACAGAAATGTTATGCATGTTAAGCTGTTATTTTTTTGCTCTCACAAAATAATTTAACACCCATATCTCTACCATCTGAAACAGCTCTTACTTTTTGGTCCTGGTTCCTAATCTTTGCAACTAGCAGTTTTTGCAGCTGCTTTAACCAGTGCTACAGATAGCCCCGGTGGCAGTCTACTGACGGTAGTGGTGCTGATTTCGTCTCTTGGAAGAATTGACAGCTCAGTGTTTCTCCTTACAGAATTACTTAATAAAGTTTATGTCGTTTCGAGATATCTTTAACATCTGTTGAGTATCACCTACTCGTCCTGAACTCCTAAACCACTGTGAATTGCCGTATGGCTAGCAGAAGTCAAAAAGTGATGGTTTTTCGGTGTTTTGCATAAGTATAATTAGAATACGAAGATGCATTGTTTTTGTGATTGTTTTTTTTTTTTTTTTTCAGATTACTCGGTTGGGTGGACGTGTTTTGTACGCATCGAATTCACGACTTGTCATGTGCACACAACGTTCCGATATCGTACATGCCGAAGCTTTCGTTAATAGTTTACGTGCTTCTCTTGAACAAAATCCAGTTTTCGCGTCGCTTAATATTCAAGCTATAAAGTTCTGGGATGTATTACTGTGGGTCGATGCGGTACGTTTCATCATTTTCTCTTTCGCATTTAAGTCAAAGCTTTAATCCACACATTTTTCAGTTTTTGCAGTATTTTCACTATTTTTGTTTATTAGCTTCAGTCAGTTTTTTGGATAAACTTGACATTTTTTTCTTAACTTGAACATTCCAGAATGATTATATCGGATTGAATTTGAGTGAAACTGAAGAAGATCACGAACTGACTGTGAAACTTAACACATCGAAATTCATTGAAGAAAGGCGTTATCGCGAACTTTTCGAGCAAATTTTGATTGGATATCTTGTTCTCGTGGCTCGCAACGTCAAAACAATGGTAATTTAACTTTTTTCCATTTCTCAATACAAATTTTAGCACTTCTGACAGTTTGCTTACACTTCTGTTCGGAAGTAGAGTTTGCAATCTAACGGCTTACTGTCTTTGTTTAAGAAAATTTCTTCGTGTACATGTTATTTTTTGCTGCAAATACCACAGGAAAACGGGTTGGCGGGTTGGAGATGGAGGAAGGTTTGAAGAAGTATTTGATAAAATCTGAGAAATACGAAGAAAATTTTAGCTTCTAACACTGACTTACTTCCAATCGTCTCTTTTTTTGCTATGTCTGATTAATTTGTTTGCAACAGGTACTTATTTGATGCTTGAATTGGTTACCAGTCAGCATCAATGCCATTTATTTTCTCCTTCATTTCACAGTTATTTTGATCTTTGCTACCTTACCTGATGGCCATTCTTCTGGCAGTCTCTCGTCTTCTGGAAGGATTAACGACTCAGTAGCTTAAATTAGCCACTTGGAGCTTGAAGAGTGTGTGTTGAGTGTTTGAGCGCCACCACCTCGTCCTCAAGTGCTGCCATTCCCAGAATACATTAAGGTGTTTTGCCGCTTGTGATTTCGCAGCAGTTAAATAATTGGCCAGCGCACAGGCTGCCCATGCGAAGATGCGTTTTTTGCATAGTTCCCCGCAGATTTTTGTCCTTAACGGCATTGATTTCCCCGGCAAATGCTTCTAGCTAAAAGAATTTCAGGCTGGCTGTCTGGACTGTCAGGAAGCATCCCTTCAAAATTCCAGTCTTTTAGCTTCTCAGGTTTCTGAGTGAGCAACTTACCCGAAAAAAATTTCGCGCGCCCATACCTGGGAATCACTTATACCGGGGGCCGGGGGGGAGGGGAGGGACTAGGTTTGAGTTCATTAATACCTACGTGGATAGGGAATATTCCCTTGAAATTACAATCTTCTAACTTTACAGTTCCCCCGAGTTAGCAACTTACCTGGGCCAGTACGTGGGCACTACGCATGCTCGGGAGCTGAGTTTGAGCTCACTAATACTTGGTCGGGGAACATCCCCTCAAGATTTCAGCTTTCCAGATTCTCTGGTTTCCAAGTTAGCAGCTTGCCCGTAAAAAACTTTGGTGGGCCTATACGCATGTGTCACATGGGTAAAACCTCTCATTTTGAGAATGAAGGCCCGCACATGCATGTAGATCAAGTTTCCTAAAATTTCAGCCCCGTAGCTTTTGCAGGTCTCGAGATGAAAAATCGGTACAGACGCACACGCAGACACACAGACACGCAGACAGCCCCTCGTCAATATGCGTTTTCTGCATTGCATAGATGCAAAAAACGCATAAAAACTATTTTTAGTAGATTTAATGCTAATTGTTTGGTTGCTTCCGAATTAGTCTTTGAGAGGCCTCAGTAGCTGTATATTTTTCAGGGAAGTGTGGAGGAGCAAAAAGCTTATCGCTCGAGGCTTGTTAATAATGAAGTTAGCGAACAAATGTTTGACATTCTGCATAGCTTGCCGACAGAAACGGAGCCTGAAGATAGCCTTGCCGCACAAAAGTCGGTTGGCCTTCTTGTTAAAGCAATCTCGCATTTCATTGCACTCGATCCTGCAGTCAGCGATTCGATGAGAAAGGTATATCTTCACAGTAAAAATCTTAAATTTATCTTCACAGTAAAATCTTGATAAATTCGAACATATTTCTTAATGTGACTTTGTTTCCATAAGCGTTGTTTTCCAGCCTGTTCAAAACGGAAGTAAGGATATAATTCTTTAAGGCTTTACGAAATTTTCTTAAATTTTTTTCAGTTGCGCTATCAATTGATGTGTATGATGGAGGCTGACGAGGCAACACAAGAAGCGGAATGGCAACCACTGGGCTTGTCCTATACGTTGACGCAGTTGTTTTGCTCGGTTTGTTGTCAGTCGAGCGATTTGGATGTTTGTCA